GGGGGGGGGGGGGGGAAAAGGTGCGGGGGGGGTGGGGGGGGGGGGGGTGCCGAACCACGGGGATGTGGGTCTGTCGCTTCTCCGCGGCGAGCGAACCCCCCTCCGCCGTGGATGAGAAGCCAAAGCGGGACCTCCAGTAGTGTGAAACCCAACCGTCTTATGTACAAAACTCCCGCCCGGGGTCACGTCCCTCCGCTCGCTGCCTCGGGGAAGCCGGGCTGACTTATCCCTTTACCGGTGGGCGCTCAACCCCCACGGCCGGAGTCAGGATATCTCGTTGCCGAAGACCTCCAGCACCAGCGGCGTGAGCTGCATGCTGTGCTCGGGCTGGAAGGAGAGGCCGCGGTACTGCTTGGAGTGCTCCTCGTTCAGGCTCCGGAGGTCGGCCAGCTTCTGGATCATCTTGGCGTAGAGCAGGCGGCTGCCGGGAGGAGGGTGCCTGCAGCGGATGTAGGTCTGGAGGATCTCCGAGAGGCGATCCTGGAGGGATTCCACCAGCGAGGTGTCCTGCACGCCCGGGCGATCTAGGAAACACCGGGGAGGCAGCAGGGTGGATTCCCTTCCCTTTTCCCAGCCGGCCACGACGGAGAGGCAGGGGTTTCGGGGAGGCAGCCAAAACCTGGCAGGGTAGTGACCTCGCGGTCCTCCTACCTGGGGAGAGGATGCAGATGGCCATGAGGAGCACGTGCTCTTCTTCGTGAAGGTTCAGCTTCTTCAAACCAACCTGGAATTTCACGAGCGGCTCGAGCAGGTCCATGCTGTGGCCAGCTGGGAAGAGAGAGGACCTTTAGCACGGCCCGCTCCCGAACAAGATCCCCCGCAGCCGAGGGCCGAGCACGGAGCTCAGCAGCTCCTCTTTCAGAGCGCCGGGACAGCGGAAGGCGACTTTTGCTACAGCTTAAACCACGTTGGTTTTTAACTGTACTTTTCTCCCCGGTAGTTCCTCTAAAGCCGGAGATTATGGAGCAGCTTTTGCTTCTGAAAGCTATGAAGACGACTAACCTGCAGACATTTTGCCTCCCTGCCATCACTCCCACACTGCCCCGTGTCCTGCACAAGCACCACAACCCCCACCTCGTGCGCCCAGAGCCCTCTCCGCAAGCAGAATCTCTTTCTCCTGCCCTCAGCGGGCGCCAGCTGCCCCGCGCCCGGTCCCAAGGCGCCGCTCGCTCTGGTTCTCCTGGGGGACCTCTGCA